AAAGCTCCTTTGCAATCAGAACAGAGTGTAACCAGGTTTGAGAGTGCTTTATAATGCTGCAGGCACTTCTTGACATAGGCCTAGGATTCTGCATAGTTAAGTGCTGGTTTGCACATGCTCTTTACATCACAAGGTCATGTCACTCTGCTGCAAGCCTCCTGGAGCACTCTTCTATTTTTGCTTACCAAAAGCAGTTTCTTTCCATTCCATGCCCTCGGAGCCAACCACTACAGAACAGCAATAGGGAGGATTCTTAGCCACAAACAAAAAAAAACTTACAATCAAACAAACAAACAAATCCCCAGAAAACCCAAAAACTTACCTGGCATAATTTTTCCTGCCTCTTAACTTCCAAATCATGACAATCAACAGAAAAAAAAAGAGTAACAACCTCAAACCTCTCTCACTCCCAGTCTTCTAAAAACCGAACCAGTCAGTCAGGCTATGGCAAAGCTGGAGCAACAGTGCCCTGTGCTGGGAAGAGCTGTGGTCTAGAACAACGCTCTATCGAGCACAAATTAAATCTGTGCTCACTGCCATCATCTGCAAGACAGAGAGGACAGACCCCGAGTGCCGTGCCGAATCAGCACAGTCCTGCTGGCTCTGGGTACAACAATTCACACATTTAGATTTAAGGATAACAGGCTTTGAGGGCTTCGTATCATCTTTATTTCCAATTATTTTTGCACAGCTTTCTTCATCACAGTCAATTATTTTGAGCCACAATCTATTCAGCTGATTTTTCTCCAGGACTGAGTCATGGTGTGAAGCCCGTCACCGATATGGTCACACCACGTAACCTCAGCACTGCTCTTCTCCCCTGTCCCGAGATGGGGAAGGCTCCGCAGAGCAGGGGCAGCACAGGATTCAGGGACGAGATTTCAGAAGAGGGCGGATGTTTACACCGAGGCTATGCCTATTTATTGCTCTGACATCAACAACGCTTCCCACAGATTCAATGCATTAAATTGCATGACTGAGGGAACACACGACCTAAAACTGCAAACTGAGCCTAGACTGGACATGGAGAAAGGCTTCAGAGATACGAGATGGAAGATAATCATCATTTGTATTTACTTTTGTTCCACGCTTTTCTTTCTTCAGCCTTACACCACTGGAGAGTATGCAGTACTACCGCAGGTCTCCTACCACCGGACGCATTGTCAGGATAAATGCGACTGAGAAAGGGTGTTTTTCTGAGCACTTCTTTCCCTTGATAGTCAACTCTCCTGAAACACTGGCAAAGCTCTTAGAATCACAGAATCATGGAATTGTTTAGGTTGGGAAAGACCTTTAAGATCCTCAAGTCCAACCATTAACCTTCACCTACTTACTTTCTATGCCATGTTATAGTTCCAAAGCTTGCCACAAGGCATATGGCATTGTTTGTGTTTTGTGACAGCCAGAGGGTAGTTTAAAAAAAAAAATAAATAAATCTTTCACACTAAATGTTCCTACAGAATTGCCTGAAACTTCAGGGACTGCACTGAATCCTGATAGTCATTACCATTTCTGCTCTCCCAACCCGTGAACGCTATGTTCTCATTGTACACGCTGTTTTAGCACTAAGGTACCCTTCCCACATTCAAATTCATTAATAGTTTCCTACTGAACACCTGGGTGAAACTACCCTCCACAGAAATGCAGTGCTTGCTCCCCGAGCAAAGGACAAAGCTAACTCGACCGACGCACCAAGTGGCACTGTCACGTTACCTTCTCCTTCCTTCCATGAGTTCAAGCACATCGGGCATAGTTCTGCTCCGATAAACCAACCGTGTGCTTTTTTCCAGGTGAAGCCCATTACAGTGACAGACCAAATCCCCTTAACGGTTAATTAGGAGTTCAGAGTCACAGCAGCCCTTTGGGCTAGTATTAATTACTTTCATCTTAAGCTTTGGCAAAATACTTAAAAGAGAGGAAGACAAAATATAGAGAAAGCATGCAAATAGCAGAGGTAAAGAGCATTTATTACTAATCTGCGCTCCAGGAAGCGAGATGAAACTATGAAAAGAAATAATCCCAGGAAACAGATTTCTGAGTAAACAGAGATTAACCCAGGCTGATCAAAGGGGAAGAGCTGAAAAAGGCTGATGGCAGAGAAGCTGCAGGGATCTACTTTAAGCTAGAGTGGAAAAAAACAGGTATTATTTCACTAAGAAAAGTGACCATAGACTTGTGTTCACAACTAAAGCCTGATTTTCCAAAAGATTTAATGTATCACAGCAGTCCCTACAGTTTTTTCCATTTAAGTGCACCACGGGGCGTAACTGGGTGTTTTGCACTTTGTCATGAATTGCCATGCATCAAACCAGAAAGCTGGATTCTTTTTTTGCAGCTGCTCCGCAGCCCAAGTTTCAGGACACACAAATAAATCGGGAAACCAAGAATACCATTTAGCACCAGTGAAGCATTCATGGAACAAGTTTGCTTTGAACAAAGACTCTAAGGAAGAATCAAACCCCTGCTTCAGGTATGTTTAAAGTCTGAACTGTTCAGATGGCTCTTGCGAAAGATCTAAACTTTCCTGTTTGCCTGATCTTGCCTCCAGTGACGCAAACATTTGAAAGAGTCCCAGGTAAGTGAAGAGTAAAATGAATCCTAACCCAGTTAATGTTCCCACTGTGCTGTAGCTGAGACTCCCTTCCTCGCTGGCTCCAGCAAAGGAAAACGTTTAAGGCACCGACACCAAGGACAGCCTCAGCCACCACAGTCGGGCCAAATGCTGCTTCTGTGAAAGTACTGCGACACAGAGCCCCCAGAATAGGCTAGAGAAACACAAGCAATGAACAATTAGCAGACATATGTTGAGATAAGTAATATGCTAGTAAGATGCTGGAGACGAAAATTCCCTAGATAATTCTGCAGACACAGAAAGACAGTTCTGCAGGATCAGGACCAAGAGGGATCCTTTAAGGCAGAAAAGCAAAATAAAATTGTGATTACAGTTGCTGTCTTTTAGAATTCACTACAAAATATGAAAATTTATCTTTAAAATGTCACAGTTTTTAAAAAAACTTGAAACAAATCAATAATACCTGTTGACAGCTGATTTGTGCCTTTAGCACAGGACATCAAACCCAGCTACTCACAGCACTGTTGCTCTTTGGCTGCAAATCTGTCGCAGAGAGGCCGCATTTTTATTTTAACGATACACATGTACTTGGGGAGAGAGAAAGAAGTCAGATAAAGGTGATGGCAAATACGCGACCAGAAAATCTGCAACCTTTAGTTTCCAGTTAAAGTGCAAGGAAACAAAGACTTACTCTGAAACGGAGACAAAAAACGCAGAGGGAAGGTCTGGAGCACAAGGGAACCTTCTAAGCCAACAGTTGGCCCACGGCCTCTGGGCACCGAGAGACACGTACGCCAAAATTGCCAAACTCATACGCAGTATTACAGCCCATGGGAATTTCCCCATATGTTTCAATGGCTTATGCTTTTACTTTGCTACAATAAGCAACTGTCCGTGTCTACAAAATCAGCTGCCTGGTGTAACAGGCACACATTAGGAAACTTGCTTTAGTCAGGCATGGCTTTGTTTTGTTTTGTTTCTTTTTATAGCCTGTACTTTTGAGAACCTGTGCTATATCAACCTATGCAAACACTGCAGAATTGTCAGTGTCAGTTTGATCATGCACCTCAGTAGTCAGAGAAGTACCAGGAGGCTGGATCATTCAGGGAAGTGAAGAGCAGCAGCTCTATCTTTACAGACACCACAAACAGATTCTCAAAGACACAAACACTGATAAAGTTTTCAAGTGATTTTCCTTTCTTTGTTTAAATAAAAGTTTTGAGAATAACCACATCCCACATCATTTCCATAATAAAAAGTTTGTATGACACTGGTTAGAAGTGGACAGAAATATCCATGTAGTGACTGCACAAAACACTTGTGAAACTGAACATGATTTCAGCAATTTGGCTTAAATACATAACATCTCCTGTTCCAAGGCTTTGTCTGTAAAGCAAAGTTACATAAAAATAACCTAAAATAGAAACATAAATTTAATGAAATTAATCAGAAAACCTTCTGTGTATATAATCCTTTTTCATGGCGAAAGTGGCTTGCGGTCCAGCTTAACTCTATTGGGAGCAGGCTTACATTACATCAAAAGAATGTCTGCAAATGCATTTGCATTGTTTAAATAAATTTAGTTAAACCCAATATGAGTTTATCAGTGCAAATTTTCCAGAGTCAGCTTAAAAGGCAATTTAATGCAAAGACAAAAGGAGGAGCTTGACAGAAAATACATAACCTCCTGAAACAGCTTCTTTCCGAGAGGTGATTTGTACTTTCTAAGGACACACAACTCCCACCTGCCACTGAACCCAGTGGAAATTCAGGTGAATTCAGCTCTCCTCAGAGGCAGACCGTAAGCGTGGAATTAACACTGCTGTATTTATTGCAAATGCTACTGCTCTCTTGCTGGAAGAGAGCCCTTGAGATGGCAACAAGGAATGTGCCAAGATTAGACTATGGTGTGTCATACCCTATATTCAGCAAAATAATCACCTTGGAGTCAAATGCTACAGACAGAACAAGTCCACTCTCTCTTGGCACTGGTGAGGCCGCACCTCGAATACTGTGTGCAGTGTTGGGCCCCTCACTCCCAGAAGGACGTTGGGGGCATGGAGCGTGTCCAGAGAAGGCCAACGAGGCTGGTGAGGGGTCTGGAGCCCAAGGCTGATGGGGAGCGGCTGAGGGACCTGGGGGTGTTCAGCCTGGAGAAGAGGAGGCTGAGGGGAGCCCTTATCGCTCCCTACAACTGCCTGACAGGAGGGGGGAGCCCAGGGGGTCAGTCTCTGCTCCCAGGGAATGGGCGATGAGACGAGGAGAAACAGCCTCAAGTTGTGCTGGGGGGGTTGAGGTTGGTCATTAGGAAAAATTTCTTCCCTGAAAGGGTTGTCAAGCACTGGAAGGGGCTGCCCAGGGAAGGGGTCAAGTCCCCATCCCTGGGGGTATTTAAAAGCCAGGCAAACGAGGTGCTTAGGGACAGGGTTTAGTGGTGGGATGGCAGGGTTAGCGTAATGGGTGGACTTGATGATCTTAAAGGTCTTTCCAAACTAAATGATCCCAAGATTCTATTATTAGCAGACACTATCTGTACAGCCTTGCCCACAGACTTTTCTGGCTGTCTTGCTCACCACTACAACTGTCAAACAAATTTTGTGCAATTGCATTACAAATAAGCCTTTATAAAATAATAAAAAGCTTTTCAAGATAAAAACTATGCTAAACGTCTGATTGATATTATGAATAAACCCATCCCACCTCATACCTATTCATTATATAATAGTAGTGTTTTATTCAGTAGTGGGTTTCCAGCCACATCCAAAGTGGCCACAGCTTTATGTGCAATCAAAATTAAGTAGCTTATTGATATTGCTGGATAAGCAAGAGTAAATACTGCTTCAAGCACACTGCTTTGCAGCTCTTCAGATAAACAATGCGTTTCATTCATTGCCAAGCAGACTATTTGGGAAACAGCAGGTTAAGCTAACTGGTTCATAACACCAGAATTTCATTGTTCTTCCAAAGAAACATACCACAAAGTACTTGTTGCAAAGTGTGCAACTCGTAAGATTTTAAAAAAATTAAAACTCCAATTCTCATATTAGACTTTTTAGCAAAACTGGAATTTGTTTTTTTCTGTCAAGAGTAAAATGACAGAATATTATTACAGATACTTCACCTAAGGAGAAAGTTAAGGCTTGTCTTATAAGAGTTTCCTTTTCAAAGGCAGGCATGGATTTAAAGTCACAGTCTGCTTAAGACATTACATCTCAGATTTACTCTCTGTTGCAGAAGGTGCAGACAGCTAAGCAGCATTTGTGGCAAGTTAGTGTATTTAACACTTGATAACATGTTCTAGTTTCACAACAGAGCTATATACTGCTTTAAGAGTCTTGATATTTTTGCAACACTTAGCAGCACTGTCATTAGTTTTCCTGTAAGGCAATACAAACAGGAGTATTAAAAAAAAAAAAAAAGTATGAGGTTTGGATTATCCATGATATTTTGACATAAATAAATAAAAAAAGAGGGAGAATTAATCTGAGATCAGTCAAGCTCTTAAAGAGCAAAGGCCTCTGTCAGCCTTGGATCTGCTCCTCCGTTTGTCAGTAAGAGAAACAGATGCAACTTCTGATTTCCTTGCTGAGAGTGCCAGCCGGCAGCTCCTGAACAAGAGCAGGCCTCTTCCAATACCAATTTTTTTTCTCCCAAGAAAGAAGCTCATTACCACCTGCCAGCCACTGGCTAGTACAGATTAAGCTTCCTCCAGCCCATCACTTTGTTCCTTGCAGTGGAAATACAGCAACCATTGCTACATTCAACTACTCCAGTACTGAAAGCAAAATCCAAAAATTGTAAAACTTATTTTATCTGCTATAACTGTATTTCTTTGAACTCAAAGGTAGATTTGGAAGAGGCAGTCCAGGAGAGAAGGGTTTCAAGTACCAAAATCTGTATGTCCCATACCACGCTGACAGACCTATCAGCACACCGAGAAGCTTTTGACTGAAGTCATGGAAATACACAGCAGTACAGAGAAACATGAACACCCAGATCATGGTGAGAAAACACAAGGAAACAAAGAGGCTGTTGATCACAACACGCAGCCTAGAGTTCTGGTCTATGGACAAGCCTTCCAGCACAGCCACTTCTTCCACAATCATCAGGGCACAGTACGAGAGCAGAAAACAGTGTCCGGAGATATCAAAACCATTCCAAATCCCGTTGTCCTGGTGGCACTCCTGCTTGGTGGCGTACAGCTGGCGAGGCTCACTGAGTTTACCCGAGGTAGAGCACACGCCGGTGAGATTCTCGATATAGATGAAGAGTCCGGTGCAGATGTACCAGATGGTAGTGCCCACTAGCAGTGCACTGAGACGCCGCAGCACCATCAGAATGCTCTTCGTGGGACCATAGAGGAACTTGCTCTCAGCAAACTGGTAGGTGGTGACCGCGATAAAGGGCAGCAGAAGCCAGAATGTCCATGCCCAAGCTACCTTCACAAAGTATCTGCCAGAGAAAAGCCAAAAGAGAAACATGCATGTGTGAAAGTTGACAGGAGCTGGGGTAAGTGGTGGTGCTTGAAGAAGTAGGTTTTCAAGGTCAGTCTTCAGAGCCACCTAAATTAGACACTTGTGCTCCACCCCCCACCCTGTAAAGCACAGCTAACTCATAGCCCTCTTCCCAGTATTTCTCTCAGGCCCAACACCTCCTCAACCAGGTACTTCAACTGTTTCCCAGGCAGCGTTCCCTTGGACCTACAGCCCTCGTCAGACTTGCAGTTCAGTTTTGCAATTGCTTTTACCCTACAAACACTCTCAACTCTGCCCTAGTCAAAATGCAGCTGCAAAGAATGTATTGTTAGCTTGCCACCCTGACCACAGTAACCCTTTCTCTGATACTCTTCCTCCATCTTCGCTTTCAAAGCCCTTCACAACCTCAACCTGTTAATACTGAATAGGGCTGACACTTTTCCCTAATCAGCCAATGAAGCTTTTCCTCTGTCATCACCTTATAAAATAAATGAAGAAGCACAGTGTTTGTTCCTGTGCTGTCCCTCCAGTTGATGAGAGCCTTCTTTTGGCATAATACAAATCCTTCTATCCCCTAAATTCACTCTCTGCCTTGAAAATTTTTGCTGATGATGTGCTGATGTCCTGCTTAGCAGGAGACAGCATCATTGCAGAACTAGTCCTCTTTTCAAACCTTGAAGTGGAACATGTGCAAATGAATTTACTAACAAGTTAAAGACACCATAGACTATGCTCTTATTTCTTCCATTAGCACCTTCCAATGCAGCTGGCTTCCTATCAGCTGGTGGGAGAGGGGAACTGTGCAGCCCCCTCATTACCCACACCCTGGTTTGAAAAACAGAGACAGCAGAATTCTGGTCTGTGGCTAAGCTATAGCTAGTCACACACCGTCATCGTTTAATCATCACCTCAGCACCAAAGACAAAACCAAGCAGGAACAGGGTTCTGTTTCTTCATTAAGACCCTAAAAAACTGTCGGGCCTTGACGAGGATTTTGAGGAGTACCTCCTTTCCTCTTAATTTTACAGTAGAAGTGGCATCTGTGTGGCAACAGCCATGGAATAGTAATTGAAAATAAAATCCTCATTTTATTGAGACAGTTGAAAGCAGAAAAGGCTGCTAACAATTGCTGCTGGCAAATCAGCAGGCAGGTAATTTGTGGGGAAAAAAATTGCCTCAGGAACTGTCAGTACAGATAACCCCCCTCTATTTAAAAGGGGAGAATTGAACCGTAGTATGTTTTTACTGTAAGATCAATTTCACTCTCTAAGCCATTCCTGCCAATCCTTCTTTTCAATCACACTAAAAGCAGCTCCTCTCCCACACGCCACCAAATGACAAATTCAAATCAATAAAGTACAAAATTCCCCAATTCACAGGGGAAAACAGCAATTTTACCTTTACTTTCTGATCTGTGCCAGGTAAAGCACACGTGCACTGGCCCAGCTCATCGCCTTCCTCATGCCCTTCAAAACGTTCCAATGCGCTTTTAGGGAATGACTAAGTCAGTTGCATCATCGCCTAAGTCCTAGGAAAGGATGGCAGTAACCCTGCTTTTACAGGAGACGCTGAAAGACTTGCTTTCCTCAGCTGGCTGTTAGATCAGTTCGGTAACTGTCAGTTTACTCAAATACGAGGAATTACCTGGGAGCTGAAGGACCAAAGTGCCTTCTTTTCCTCTTCCCATAAACACTGAGTAACAAACTGCAGTTGTTCCGAAATCCTACAGCCCGGTAGCAGCTCCCAGGTTAAGACCGGGTACCCAACAGAAACCATCACTTCGCCCCGGCTCCCCGTC